CCATTTAATATTGCTTGTTTACAACTATGTTCTGAACCTTATTTTAGGAGCATATAGCTAATAAAAATGGTGTTTATTTAGTTTTCTTTCTAGGCAATGAGGCATGTATGTGTATACTGTACAGGAAGTGAAGCAAATGAACTAGTATTAATTGAGGGCCGGACCTACCACACGGTATATAAGCAGTTTTAGACCTTCTATCTCATTCAGTCCTCATAAGCAGTTCTTACAAGGAAGTAGTGGTTGTCTTTTTTTATAGGCAAGGGAATTGAGGTTTTAAGGGGTCAAGTCCAAGTCACATAGCTAGTAGTTGTCAAAGGGGAGATCCAAACATGGATCTGCCTACGTGTATGAGAACTGCCAGTCGTTCATAGCATTGTTCTTTGAAGCTCTCAAAAGTCTACAGTCAAGGGACTGCTGTGCTCTTCCTGCACAGCAGCTTAAGGCCAGGAGGTAAAAGATGGTGAAAATGGAGAGCAGTTGCAAGTGATATCTGCTAGCATGCAAAAATAACAGAAAATGGGCCAAGGGGAGGATCCCTGCTAGCCAGGCGGAAATGTCTGTTAGAATATGCAGGAAAGGATCAGAGCGTCATAGGACTTGAGTGAATGTGGGCCCAAGGGAGGATTAGTCGCAGTGATTTTATCAGAAGTGAGTCATCTGACAGCTCTAATCAGAATCACCTCCTTTATTATAGCTGAGGTCATCCATGTGCTTTCTCTGATGTGCCTGTTTCAAGAAGAGATTGATTCCAGACAAGTGAAACATACCTGAAGATTCTGGCCTGAACATTATAGTTGACCTGACAAGAAAGTGAGCTTCCAATTTGTCACCTCGGTGGTGGTGGTGGTAATGTTAGAAGTACTCAACAGTCCGCGTTTTCATTCTACAGCATTACTTTCCAGACTCATTGCAAACCGATTCCTAGAGGGGGAGGAAAGGGGAAACCTGCTTTCAAGAATCTTGAGGCATCACCTGAAGTGATCAGGGAGTGATTTTTTTTTTCTTTTGAATTTCCTGTTTGATCTTTAGGCAGAGCTTTCATTCATGTCCGTATCTGTTTTAATTCAAAAATAAATTATTTTACTGGTGAAGTATCTCCTTCCTCCCACCCTAAATCTCCCAAGTAGAATGGACAGTGGGAAGGTAGTGTTGGTTGGACTGAGACTTGGCGGTTCCCCATCCTTACCCGGAGCAGGTGCCCGGCCTGCGCGGCACTGTCTCCCGGGCTTTGTGCTGCTGCCCGAGCTCCTGCACGGGCTTAACACTAACACAAGGGTTGGCTGTCTGCCTGTTGATTTTGCCACATGTTCTGACTCCCTCCTTTCCTTCTTCCTCTGTCCTCAAAGGTATGGAGTCTCTATTTATCACACTGACATGGTTTCTTTCTTTCACTTGATTGGCTTGACTTTTTAATTATATTTTTATTTTATTTTATTTATTTATTTTATTTTATTTTATTTTAGAGAGTGTGAGCAGGGAAGGGGGCAGAGTGGGGGCGGGGCGGGGGGGGGAAGAGAGAGAGAGAGAGAGAGAAAGAGAGAGAGGGAGAGAGAGGGAGAATCTCAAGCAGGCTTCACACTTAGTGTGCAGCCCATCGCAGGGCTCCATCCCATGAACCTGGGATCATGACTTGGGCCGAGATCAAGAGTCAGACCTTCAAGCGACTGACCACCCAGGCACCCCAATTGTCTTGATTTTTTAAGGGCTTGGTCTCTTGATGGGTCTAACAGATTGACTTTTAGATTTTCTTTTTTTGTCTTACCAGGGGAATGTAACCAGATATCTTATATCTACTGATTCTACCAGGTACCTGTGTTTTCTTCATGCTGCTGCTTAATTTTATTTAAGGCCCAGTGGGTGTATGTTTGTGACCTGACAAATGGCAGCCTTAGCCCGAGTATTGTGTATTGCCTGTCTCTTCTGGCACTCCAGTTGTGTGTGTGTGGAGCTGGGGCAGCAAGAGCAAATTGTCGTTTCTGTCTCTTGGACGGAAGGACACCTCAGGCCAGCAGGTACAAAAACTAACTTTAGGTCGCGAGTGATTGCCAGCTTTATGGCTGTTGTCTATGTTTTGTTTCCTAGTCACACCCAATTGATTTCCAGTTTTTGCTACAGTCTTGACAAGAGTTCCATGCTCTTTGGTTTAACAGCAGTGAGGGTTTCCTTTGTAGGGTATTTTTACACCTAAATCTTCTACGACAAGGATTTGTGCTGATTTACTGTTACTGAAGACTTAGGTCATGTTAAGCCCCGAGCCTTTTGTCGAGGGTCTCATTTGTGTCCATCCTGCTTCCTTCTGAAACCCTATTGTTCACCTTTAACTGATCTAATCTTGCTCGATCCCATATTTCTCCACAGTCCCTCAGCAGAACTGTTTTTTGTACCAAATGAAATTACATCTGATCTTTTGAATGACCTCCACTACAAAAATTACTTTTTACACAGGTCTTGCAGATTTTGAAACTTTTTTTTTTTGAAGTAACGTATCTTTGTATCTTCATAACCATTCTGTGGGATGGGCAGCATGAAGACAGTTACTACTTATTTTATGAAGGGGGAAAGAAGGTACCAGTGGACATGACTTGCAGCCTAGTGGCGAAGCCAGGACTTGACCAAGTGCCTGGGGTTTCGGTCCCTAGCAGTTTCTACAAACATTTTGTGAAAGACTTCCAGTTTTCCCAGAATTGGGATAATTTTATTGTGTAGGTTGAGTTGTCTACAAAGATGATAGCTCTAAAATATTTTACGATTTTTTTAAAAGTCTTAAATTCAAGGAAGAAAGAGTGGATTTCCAGAATTTCCAAATGTTGCTGGTTCCTATTTTAAACAGGTTACAGATGTTTACTTCCTAAGAACAAAGCAGACTAAATCAGAGAAGATAGTGACTAAGTTTTCATTTTTCTCTTTATTTCTAGGGGTAGTATTTTGCCCCTCCTTGTTGACATATTGTGAGAAGGTCATGGGTGAAATAATCACATGATGTGGTTCTTAGTAGGAATTTTTGTGTCCATGAGGATTCTTAATAGTAGTATTGGAGGTCCTCTGGCTATTGTGTGTTTTTGAAAACCTAATAGAAATGGTTTATTTTTATAAATCTTAAAACGTCAAACTTCTTTACTTTTGGCTGGAATTTAAAGACTCTGATTAGAAGCCCTGGTTGGCACTAGATGGGCATGACCATTTAATCATTCTTGAAATTTGCTATTTGTTTGTAGACAAAGAGTCCATGGAGAGAGCATACCATCAAGCGAATGGGCTCGAAGGCGCCTCATAGCTGGTCTGAGGCTGTGCTGCAGTGGTGGAGAATGTCCACCAGGTGGCATCAAGGGTTTGCTTCACTGTTGGCTCCCCAGCTAACACTTGAAGCCCATTTAAACTTCTGCCCTTGTGAACTATGGCTCAGCTGCAGCTGTGCCCTCAGTTCCGGTCCCTGGCTTCCCTAGCCGCCACTCCCTTAGTGCCGTTTGTGCTCCGTATTGGCATCTGACCACATTTTGCCTCTGGTGAAAGCAGTGGGGTTGACTCTTCCTCTAGATGGGAAGCTTCTTGAAAACAGACACCAGCTGCATTCATTGTAAAGCTTGCCCCTTTCTGTGTTTCCAGCAGCAGCAGCCATAGCGCCTCTGAGTTGCTCTGTTGAGTTGACATCTGTTGGTGATATGTAGGCTCATTGTGGATCTCTGTAGAGTTCACCTTCAGTATGGTTTTTGCCTTGAAGAGTACGTTCATTTCCTCAGCTTCATAAATGATACGTTGGAGGGGTGTAGGGTTTTGTGCCTATAGATTGTGTACTTTCATAAACTTTAAAGTGAACCCTGATCAGCCACTTTCACTAACTCCAGAGACAGTAGTTGCAGAAAGCGATCCTGTAGATGGGGCTTCCCTGTAGCCCTGCCGTTGGTCTTGGCAGTGGAACCTCTGTGCGTGCCAGACAGCAGATAGCCATGGCATTTTCAGGCTGTGTGCCATGTAGGTAGAAGCTAGAGGAAACCAGAAAAGAATCCTTGTAGCTCTCATCCCTCTGCCTTAGCTGGGCTCCCAGCAGGGGCTCCTGTAGCAAGCAGCTTTGATCAGGAGCAAAATGCCTACTTGTACAAAGGAAGGACCTGGGAGGGCCAGTAGTACACTTGCATATTGTAGTTGGATCGTATCATTTTATTGGAGGCCATTAAGGAAATGGATGTTCAGTTTTCCTTTTTCAGAAAACGGATATGGCTTTTAAGCCAGTTGGAAGGAAATTTGAAAAGGCTCCATAATAATGTTATTTCATTATTAGAGCAAACCTACATAGGCAACCAAGTTGTTTGCAGGCCTGACCCTGGCTCTGGCTCTTCTGTTGTATGGATACCTTTCTATAGTGCTTGGTTTGATGACATTCTGAAGTTCTGTGTTTGATAATAGGCCCAAGAGTGTGCAAAACTCTGAGCTAATGGCATTTACATTTACTTAGTTGAATTTTAAAAATGAGCCACAGTCAAGGCGTAACTGGAGATAGTAATACCGACGTGGTGCGTCTGGCTGCTTTTCTGAGGGCTATTTGTTGAGCTCCCTAGTGAATTTGATGAACTAAAGCCATATTTTTATTTCTAGAGCCGGGAGTTGCCAAGCTGGGTTTTGACCTTTGGATGTTTAGAGAGCACCAGAAGTTCTGATTATGTGATGAAGAGAAAAATGACAGCTTTTCTTGCCCGTTAAAAACCCAGGACTCACTCATGACATTCCTTTGCCCTTTGTCCTACAAACAGAGCAGAGGATGTGACCTCTACTCTTTGGGATGACATTATTTTAAAGAATGTGATCAGAATCGACCTGTTAGATGCTCATCTTCTCTGCGCATCTCAATTTTGGTTTATTCTTACCTTTGGCAGTTGAATTTAAATCCGTTGGTAAGGTAGCTTACAAATGCCTTTTCAGAAATGCATTAAAAATCTTTTCAGGAAAAATTTGGGAACTGCTAGCACAAGTTAGCATTGCTCACATGACTGCTTTGTTTTTAGGTGATCGGTGAGGATAATGTGGCGGTCCCCTCGCACCTTTATAAGGTGATCCTGGCTCGCAGAAGCCCAGTGTCTGCTGAACCACTGGCACTAGGGGCCTTCGTGGTGCCCAATGAGGCCATTGGCTTCCAACGCCAGTTAAGTGAATTCCAAGTGAGTCTTCAGGACCTGGAGAAGTTATCAGGACTGGTGTTTTTTCCTCATTTGGATAGAACTAGCGGTATCAGGAATATCTGCTCTGTGGACACCTGTAAACTCCTGGATTTCCAGGAGTTCACCCTGTACCTGAGCACGAGAAAGATTGAGGGAGCCCGATCAGTATCTAGACTGGAAAAGGTCATGGAAAATTTGAAGAACGCAGGGATTGAACCAGATGATTACTTCATGAACCGCTATAAGAAGAAACTAGAAGAACTCAAAGCTAAGGAGCAGTCAGGAATCCTGGAGAGAAAGCCACCTTAGTTGCCATCTCAGAAGACGTGCCAGAGCATCTCTAATGAAGCAGGTGTGTCCTCTCCAGGCTAATGTATTTTCGTGGCTTGGCTTTAAAGAAATTATGAAATCCTAAACTGAAGACTAAATTTCTCTCCAGAGATAAAAGATCCAAAAGATGAGAGATCAGTATTTTGTTTGATGTGGGAACTAATTAAGGAAACTGTGAGGTCTGCAGGTTGTGTGCTGATCTCGTGTCAGGTTCACAGGACTCTGACCACAAGATGACATTGTTTTTGTGTCCCTCTGGATGTTAGCACGTGAACGCATTTTGTTTTTGTGCCTCCAGGTCACGCACTGTGTGTGATGTATCTGCTCAGCTTTCTTCAAGTCCAGTGTTGTGTGTTTTCTTTCTCTAGGACCCGAGTTGCTCTTTGAGGTGGCTTTCACACATCCTCTGTGCGCTGTCCTGTCCACGTGTGTTATAGTGGCATAGATTTGTTTCTTCTTCTCACGGACCTGCTGGTCCTCCACGGGTGTCATACAGAAGCACTCGGCTACGTTTTCTGTGCGCTTAGTATGTTCTGTGTACTAAGCTCAGTGCTTTACATGTATTATCTTTCAGCGACTCTCCGAGGTAAATCCCACTGTCCTCGTTTTACACACGAGGAAATTAAGTTTTAGGGAGCTTAAGTGTTTTGTCCAGGCTTCACCTTTCCAAAGAAGTAACACCCAGAGGTAGGAGGCATGTGGGGCAGAGAAGAAAAGGACAGCGTGAGGTAGGTTCAAATAATCCTCACACAGAGGCTTTTACTCAGAAATATATATATACACATGGGGATTGGTGATCCTGGGCCTGCTTGCTAAGAGATTGCTTGTCTGCCATCGAACCAAATCTTGAATCCTCTGACTTAAACCCTCCTTAGCTCTTTGGGAAGAAATAATCACAGATATTTGAAAGTTAGGGGGCATTGCTTTTTTGGAGTCTTATCAGAGCCCCTACTTGCCTCCAGGGATGCAGTTCTTTTAGTGACCAAATGGTACCAAATTGATACGTTCTTTGCTTTCCAGGTGAGCAGTTTGTTCCAGAGATTAAGCGACCTAACGAGGGTCTGTGCCCACAGAGTCGCCAGCTCATGATTTGTTCCCTTGTGCCTGCTTGTCTACCTGGGCAGGAGACGACGGGGGGTGCTTTGGGCCAAAGGCTCAGAGACCATTCTAATTATCTCTAGGGGAAACAGCGGCTGTTGTTCTGAGCCAGGTCTCTAGATTTGGGTTTACATGGAATCCTTTCAGGGACTACCATAAGTATAGGCCGCAAAATACCTTAAAATGGGGCACAGGAGCGTCTAAATGTGTCCTATCAGTGCTGTTCTGTGTGGTATTACGAGAACAGTCTTTGTGGGGTTTTGTGTGTTTGTCTCTAACAGAAATGCAAGGCTTTAAGCTAAAGGTAAGATGGTAGTGATTGACCTTGTTCTCCTTCATTTGGGCAAAAAACAAAGAAGTTGGGAGGGTCAGAACACAGTAGCCTGACGAATCCAGTGTGTTTTATCACACTGTTTGCCATTCGCTTATGCCAGTCCTCTCTTCTCAGGGATGAAGAGCCAAAATGTCACTGTGACCACAAAATCTGTTACTTTCTCTCCTCACTGGAGAGGTGATGGTGGGGCCTCCCAGTGCGGTGCTTCTCTCGGCATGAGGGGGCAGCTCTGTGGGAGAAGTCCCGGGCGCTTAGCATGCATCTCTGGAGGTGAGCTCCCACCTTCTTCCCCCACGTCTGGCACTGTGCTCTTGTTCTAGCCTGAATTTCCTTCAGCCTTGGACTTCCTTCCCATGCTCTTCTCCCTCCTAACCCTCCGCCTAGATGGTGGAGAATCTTGATTTTTAGATCAGTAAATTTAGGCGCCTTAGGTTTTTAGTATGAAAAGTGCTACCTGGTCATTGTGAAAAGTAGAAATGCTTATAACGAAAAATGCAGTCTCCCAGTCTTCATTTTAACATGGAGAAGTTGTGTTGGTCTACAGGAGTGAAGCTTGAATTGTCTGAACACGTCCATTAAGAGTCCCTCCAAAACAAACTGAAATGTGAATACTAGATAGAGCTTAGAATTTTCCCCTGGATCAGATCGATACTTTACACGTGTTATCTTTCAGTAACTCTCCGAGGTAAATCCCACTGTCCTCATTTTACACACGAGGAAATTAAGGCTTAGGGAGCTTATTAGGGAGCTTAAGTGTTTTGTCCAGGCTTCACCTTTCCAAAGAAGTAACTCACAGAGGTAGGAGGCATGCGGGGCAGAGAAGGTGGGACTCCCCTGGTAGGCCTGCTGATTATTTGGACGCAGCTGCAGGAGATCCGTAAGCCACTCCCAGCGCCAGGTCTGTCCCCTCTGACCAAATAAGCTCATATTACCCACCTTAGCAAGGAACCATCCTCTTGGTCCCTCCTTGGGGTCTGCTGAGTTGTCAGGCTGGGTCTGGGCCTCCGCCTTCTGTCCGCTGATGCTCAGGGGAGTACCCTGGCCAAGGGGGAGGCTGCTGTGGAAGAACAGCCGTCTGCACGGGCTCTGCTGCCAGCAACGCCATCTGTAGGTGAGGAGCACTCCCTAATGTCCCCACCCCCAGGGACATCTTTATTATAGACTCCAGGCTCTTTGGTCTCTGGATTGAGAATATTTGACCAGTGTTGTATGCGGCAGAGGTAGGATGGGTGTGCCAGCTCCTTACTGCGGGCTACCATTTCTGCCTTGTACCTTGACCTTCAAACAACTGCAAACCTCTGCCCCTCCGTCAGGCCTCTGAAGCACACAGAGGAGAGACAGTGTGATCTTGAGGGAGCACGTCTGCAGGGCTGGGCTCAGCCCGGAGCAGCCCCACTCTCGGAATGACCGAGTGCTGCCGTCACCTGTGCTCTCTGTCTCGTCCCTGGGAGCATGTAAGTGTCACTTACATCAGCAGCCCGTCCCTGAAGCTGTCCCTGCTCACTCCTGCACAGCCTCCCCAGTGTGCCCTTACCTGTCCTGGGCACACTCCGCCTTCCCCCTTGATCCTTCAGTTCATTCTGCTGGAAGTGGTCAAGGGGGCCTCTCATCTGGCCCGGAACTCCTGCTCCTGCCTGCCTCCACACCCCACCTCTCAGTCCAGCCTCACCTCCAGGGACCAACCCGCAGGTCACTGGAGAAGACCAAGTGCAGGAACTGGACCTCAGTGTGGAGCCTGTGTAATTTGGGGTGTGCAGTGGGGATGTGGTGAATGGACTTCTCTTTAGTGTTCCCGAACATGCCGTCGTGGCCTAGGGGCTGGTCAGCCCCTGAGTGCAGAGTGCCTCTAGGGGTCACTGTGGCCTCATGCCACACTGCAAGACTCAAGAGTCTGTTGTGACTGTGTCCAACCAAGAACTTACCTCTAGCTCTGTAAGCCACAAAGGGTGCAGTCAGCTTCAGACGTCAGGCTCCAGGCTCTCAGGCCAGATGAAACAGGCTGTCTGGTCCAGTAGGCCTCATGTTTGACTCATCAGAATGTGAGTTTTTCCCCCAACTTTATTTTGAAAAATGTCCTTACAAGTTGAGGGGAGAGTAAAGAATGCTCTCTCCCTTGATATTTTGTCCCATTTGCTTTCTCTTTTTCTCGAACCATTTAAAAGTAGTTCTCTGGGGGGGGGGGGGCACCTGGGTGGCTCAGTCAGTTAAGTGTCCCAACTTCGGCTTAGGTGATGATCTCGCAGTTGGTGAGTTCGAGCCCCGGGTCAGGCTCTGTGCTGACAGCTTGGAGCCTGGAGCCTGCTTCGGATTCTGTGTCTCCCCCTTTCTCTGCCCCCTCCCCTGCTTGCTGTCTCTTGCTCTCTCAAAAAAACAAAAAAAAAAAACAAAAAAAACACATTAAAAAAAATAAAAGTAATTGGTTAAAAAAAGTTGTAGACATGACACTTTATTCTTTAATACTTTGCACGGTGTTACCTAAGAATAAAGACTTTCCCCCGTATTTTCAGAATACTGTTATCTGTAAGAAAACTATCAAGAATTCAGTATCATCTAATGAACAGTGTCTTAACATTCGCCTAGGTTTTCCCCAAAGTCTTACACTTTTGTTTTGAATATCCATGTCTCAGTCAAGATTTGGTTATTGTATTTTGTTGTCATGTGTAGTCTTTGTTAATCTAGAACATTCTTCCCAGTGAGCTTCAAAGAGAGAGCTTCGAGAGAGAGTGCTCCAGTGAGTCGTGACCCTTGAGCCCCAAACTTCCAACAGATGTCCACCAGCTGGTCCAGCTCAGGGCAACTGCACTCGGACATGTCCCGGCAGCTCAACGTGGCTCCAGTTCATTAACCGCCAGGAGCTGGATGGACCATGTTGTCAGGTGCTTCTTCACAAATCTTAAACTGGAGCACCCGTGCAGCCTTGCTGTACACGTGCTTTGCCCGCTGGTGGAGTTTGAAGATGAGCACGTCTTGAGTGTTCAGGCTTAGAATTTGGGTTCAAAGCTCCTGTAGGCTAATTCCCAGACACCTGTAGACCTCTTCAGGGCTATGGGGTTCAAGGTGAAGAACATCTTCTGTGATCCTCAGCATTTCTTCCAGACTCACCCTTAGTTTGGCCTGTACCTCCTCTAGCTGCAGTATTTTATCCCATTTCAAGCCTTTGTACTTAGCCAGGAGCTTGGCCCAAAACTCCCAGTATGCAGAATGGTGCACTTGATGGCTGCTTCACAAGCTACCCTGAAAATTAAGTTCTTTTAAAAGACTGTGAATGGGAGAGAGGGGTTGGGGTGGGGAGAGAGAGAGAGAAGGAGAATCTTAAGCAGGCTCCACACTCAGCATGGATCCCACAACCCTGGGATCATGACCTGAGCTGGAATCAAGAGTCAAATGCTTAACCGACTGAGCCACCCAGGCGCCCCTGGAGTCTGTATTTTTTAAAGAAGCAACAGTGGTAATTCTGATGATTCTCCCAAGATTTGGAACCAGACCATGCCCCATTTTGCTGTCACTCTCCCCCAGCAAACACGTTCCCTAGATAGGAATCCTCTGAAAGGTGGTCTATGAGCTCATGAGTATCAAGGGAGAACTTTCTTCTATCGCTTTGGGTCCTCAAGTACCCAATTTCCTTTATTATTGAGCTTCATAACATTAAGCTGAAACTGTCCCTGTAACTCACTGATCAGTGACAGGCCCCAGTGGCCATCCCAGGCTACACAGAGCTGGCTGGCATCTGCTTTCAGCTGATGGTCCTTTAGAGATAGCAAGCCCATAATGCTCAGGCATTTGTGGATTTCAGACCCGCCACCATCATGTTACATGGCCTTATGGTGTGGCAGCCACGTCTGGGCAAAGCATCAGATGCGGTGGTAGCAGTGCTGAATTCAGTGCTCCCTTGTTAGGGACACTCCACTTCTCTTCCTGTACCATCGGTCCATATGGAACTCGCTCCAGCCACCTGCTTCAGGTCTTTTTCACGTGGTCTACTGTCACGTCACTTTCCCATCATGCACTCAGTCAAGTTTTGGAACACAAATATGGGGTTGTGTGCATGCCGTACTGTTAAGATTTCGTTTTAGTGTAGTTTCTACCCATCTTGAGTGAGTTCACATTCCTGATGATGCTGATTTGGCCATCTGACACGTTAGCTCTGCCTCCCAGCTTTGAGGTTGCAGATTGGATAAACAAGCCTTCAACGGGCCTGTTGAAAACATTGAAGGAGACAGAGCCAGGGAAGATCCCTTTGGTAAACATTTTATATGGCAACCGTCACACACTCCCCCAGTAGGATTCAGATGATAATAATGTGTTCTGATGTTTTCTAAGTTCAGTTCTCTTCTAATTCTTTAAAAGGGAAAGCAACACTAAGTCGCACAATGCTGTCACTCCAGGACAGTAAGAGTGCCCGCTGAATCTTCTTGCTGCACACGGCACGGCTGGGCCAGCACTTGGAACACCTGCTGTGTGTAGGGAGGCGAGGCGCACTTGGGTCCTCATCCCACCTTCCCACCTACCGACTGGGCAGCCTTCTGCAACTGCCATTTATCCTTCTGCAACTGTCATTTATCCTTCTAAACCAGGTTCCTGATCCGAGAACAGGTGGAGGATGACTGGCAGCATTGTTTGAGGACTGAATAAGCTAATATGTACCTTGGCAAGCCCTCAATAAATGGTAGCCAGTTACTATGAGTTCCTGTTATCAGTGACCATAGACCATGTTTGTGTCCCCCCCCAAAACTCATTCTTGAAATCTTATCCCCAAGTGCAATGGTATTAGGAGGTGGAGCCTTTGGAGGGTGAATAGCTCCGCCCTCACGAATGGGATTAATGACTCCAGAGGGCTCCTTTGCCCCACTGTCATGTGAGAACACTACAGATGAATGCCAAAGCAGAAAGTGGGCTCTCACCAGACACTGAATCTGCCAGCACCTTGATCTTGGACTTCCTAGCCTCCAGAACTGTGAGAAAAATGCGTTTGTAAACCACCCAGTCTTAAGGATGCTGTTATCGCAGCCGGAACCGACCAAGACCGTAACTGATGAAGGTCATCCTGTCCTGAGAAGGTGAAGGGCAGAGCCTGACCTTAATACGGTGTTGAGCTCTGGACCAGGTGGAAGCAATTCTGTCTCTCCCCAATCCTGAGACTGTGTAATGTGTTGCTAGCAGCTCTTTGACTATGTCACTGCTTTGCAGTCTCCAAAGTGCTTTCAACATCGGAACTTAGGGCACCATTCGAATAGCTACTCTTCATCCCATTTCACAAATGAGGAAACAGGCTCCAGGAGCGTATGACTTATGAAGGTTTTCTGGCTCTCAATCTGATAGTGTGCCCTCCACCCCACAAGGCTGTTGGAGTTCTTTTAATTTGCTTTGTAAGTCAGTCATGCATTTACTCATCTTAGCCCTATGAGGCCCTGCTAACTTCCTAGAAGCAGACAAATGATGCAGTCGGCTCCTTTCTGGGGCCTCCAGAGGGTTCTGCAAATAGCACATGCTCGAAAGATGTTTTGCAGTTACCAAAACTGCAAAGTTGAGACAATCCTGCTTGAGTCCCATGTGCTCGTTGTCTCTGGGGGGGGACCCAGGAAAGGTAGGGACTAGGGTGCGGCCGGTCCCATTGGGGACCAGTTAGACCAGATGAGGGCAGTGAGGACGGCTGTGGGGAAGATGGCTCGGAGGAGGCAGGAAGGTACAGGTACTAGTCTCCCGCCAAGGCCCTGGTTCGGTGCCTGCCTGGGCAGAGTGAGCAGAGCAGAGCAGGGGCCTGTGTCTCTGAGAACATAACACCCCGGGTGCCGAGCACTGCTTCCAGGAGGCTGGGTGTCCGGGGCACTCCCCACAGCACCCCTCTTCAGGCTCTGCAGGGCCTGGTGTCTGGTCTGAGGCAGCCCTCCCTGCTGCAAAGATGGGAGAAAGGGGGTGGCAGGCAGAGTATGAGCGGGGGCTTTTGTGTGTTTGGGCCTGGGGAAGCAGAGCTAAAATTAGGTCTTCCAGCTGTGTGCAGGTGTGGAATCCCGCCCTTTCCCCTCCCCCGAACCAGGATCTTGGAATGATTTCCATTTCCTCCCTCCCTCCCCGCTCAGTCCTGGTTCCTCCGCAGGCATGAGTTGAACTGTCCCGCCTCTCTGGTCATGGGCCTTTCCACCCAAATGATCTCTAAGGCTATGAGCGGAGAGAGGGGAAGGGGCAGGCAGTGGCTTTGACTTTGCTGAGCTTCCCCACCTCCTCCGAGGCCAGGGCACAGCTGGGGCCCAAGGCCACCAGGCAGAACAAATGTTTTCCTTTCCTACCACCACCTACACCGGGCCCCTGACTTCTCCCACCGGCCTCCCGCTTCATGTGCTTTGTGCCCCCATCTCTCTGCCCCTCTCTGCCCATCACTTCAGAAGGAGCCTTTAATCCCTTGCCATCCACTGCCGTCCATCCAGGCGGCGGGCTCCAGGGCAGTGTGCCGGAGGCAATGTACATGAGGCATGGCGCTCCTCCGGATGACTGTCCCTCTCACTCCCCCTTCACCGTGGCCCTGGATCCCTGCCTCACAGGACTGCAGGCTAAGGCTTAGACCCTTCTGCGCTCTGGTCTAGGGTCAGAGCCTGACTCTGGCTCCTATGTGTGCTTGCAGTAGGGTTTTAGGTGAGCGGCATCTCCTCCCTAGATGGTCTCCGGGGTCCCTCCCTGTTTGGTGTCTGAACTGTCCAGGGTGGAGTACTCCTTCAAGAAAGGCAGCCTGCAGCGGCAGCTTGTGGGAGGCATGCTGACGGAGGCTGGAGGCTGGAGGCTGCGGCGGATAAGTGCACTGAGGGGCCTCTGAGGAGGTGTGAATGAGGGAGGCAGAGCAGGCCGGTGAGGACAGCCCTGTCCCAGCCCTATCTCCCGTCCCCGACACCCTCTCCACACCCCGGCCCTGATAAGCAGGTGTGAGCCACGGCAGCCTTGTGACAGGCCCTTCAGCAGGGAGGGGATGGCGGGGTCCACTCCACTTCTGAATTCAGACGTCAGCATCTCATTCCCCCCCCCCCCCCCACCATTTCCCTGCCGGACCGGACAGGCCCAACTCCTGAGCGTCCTCCTGACGCTCGGCCCCCTTTGGGCTTTGTGACTCTGTCCCTGCCCGTGAGGCCTCAGCCTCCTCAGGGTGGTAGGGGACAGACCTCCCTCTATCTTGTGGCTAAGTGCCGAGGAGGATGGCCACCCCCAGCCAAGCCTGCTCCTGCAGTGACCGTGGTGCTGAGGCCTGGCAACCCCCGTTTACCACGGGGCACGCCTCAAGGCTACTCCTCCCGTGTCTTCTCGTCCCGTCTCCTCCAGTCCCTGTGGCCATCAGCTTTCAGTCGTGCTCCCTCCACCTTGGCTTTGGGGTCACTGCTCCGTCTGGCTCCAGCCAATGTTCAGAAGGCCAAGGCCAGAAACCCCTAATTTCTGCATTGGTGGGCATCGGGGCTGGGGGAGCAGGGAAGGCTAGGGGAAGAGGCGCAGGGCTTGGGGCTCTGGGAAAGGGGACGGAAAGGCAAATAGGACTGAGGAGGGGCCACAGAAAGTCCAGGGCACTCCCTGGACCCCCGAGGAGGGTCTTTGTGCCCCAAACCCAAGGTGCTAAACTGCCTTCTACTTTCTCAAAGGCTCTCTTCTGAGTTCACACCTGAAGATTATTTTGATTCTCAGGTTGTAACCATCTGTGCTAGGCAGCCCGTGTGTGTGTGTGTGTGTGTGTGTGTGTGTGTGAGTGTGTAAAGGGTGCTTGTTCTCTAACACTGGCTGAGAGCACAGACTCTGGAGCCAGGCGGATTGGCCTGGTGTAGGATCCCTGCTCTGCTGTCTTACCAGGTAGGGAGCTTGGGCAAACTGCATAGCACGCCTGGTAGGACTCTAAGTATCGAGTTGATCCACATAAAGCACTTGAACAGTGCCCAGGGCAGAGTAAGCGACATGTAATTGTTGGCCATTGTTATGATTTATGTAAATTTCATTTTAACATAATTTCAAATTTACAGAAGAGTTGCAGGCAATTCCCATATATCATTCGTATATTATTCATATTTTGCCCATTTATTTTATTCTCTCTGTGCATTTGTGTGCATATAATACACTCTACGTTCGACACATACACACACACACTTATTTTTTTCTGAATCACCTGAGAGTAAGTTGAAGACACCATGTCTTTTTAGCCTGAAATAACTCAGTGTGCATTGTTTACAAAACCACAATACAGTTATCAAAAACAGAAAATTTAATATTGCTATAATTCTGTTACTAATCCACAGTCCGTATTCAAATTTCATCCGTTATCTCAATCACATCTCCTTTATGTGTGTTTTTTTTTTCCTGTTCCAGGGTCACCCACTGCATTTAGTTGTCCTGTTTCTGTAGCCTGCTTTAATCTGGGTAAATTCTTCAGCCTCTCTGTGTTTCGTAAACTTGAAATTTTTGAAGAGTTCATGCCGGTTATTTTGTGGAATGGTGTTGCTCAAATTCTGTTTTGCTCTTTCCTCATTGTTAGTTTTAGGTTATGCATTTTGGCAAGATCACCATGAAGGTGACACTGTCTTTCTCAGAGTACCACGTGGGGAGGCTCCCAGTGTCCAATTGCCCATTTGTTAGAGGTGTTGCCTTTGGTCATTCGGTTTATGTGGTATGCACCAAATTCTCCCTGAGTACAACTGCTGTTTTCTCTTCACAATTAAAAAGTAACCGTGAGAAATACTTTTACCCACTAGTTTTCATCCATTGGTGATTTCAATCTCCATCATTCCTTCCAAATTCACTAATCAGCCCATTCAAACTGGTTCTTGTGTCTTTTGGCATCTGGCCAGTCTTTGAGCACTCTCTTACCTTTTTTTTTTTCTTTTTTAATTTGTGTGTGTGTGTGTGTGTGTGTGTGTGAGAGAGAGAGAGAGAGAGAGAGAGAGAGAGAGAGACAATCCCAAGCAGTCTCCACGATCAGCCCAGAGCCTGACATGGGGCTCAATCCCATAACCCTGGGATCATGACCTGAGCCAAAATCAAGAGTCAGATGCTCAACCAACTGAGCCACCCAGGCGCCCCAACTTATCTTCTGACACTAGATGCTCCAGGAGCATCTTCTGTTTTCTCTGGTCTAACAGTGAATCAGCCACTCCACCAAGGAGTCCTGTTTTTTAATGGAGAATAGTATTTACAAACCAAGATTTGGGTGCTGCGTGTGCTCAGTGACACTGGTGTATTATTGCTTCTGGTTAACTGCTTTTATCATCTGTTCGCTTGGATGGGCTGGTGGGGGGAGCGCTGAGGAAGCTGCAAATCAGAGATGGAAGGGAGAAAGGAGTGAGACGACCCAGAGAGGGAGAGAGTCCCCTCTCCCTCTCTAACTGTCTGAGTCTTGCCCGCCTTCTTTTTCCTTCTGTCCCTCTTCATCGTGACCTCATCTCCCCTTTCTTGGTCAGGATTCCTCTGGAGATTCCAGCTGTGGGAACCTCTGAAACCGTTTCCCCAGCTACGTGTGTGATATCAGAGGCAGACGACTATGTGACCTTTGTGTGTGAACAGCCAAAGGCAAAGATAATTTATGAGAAAGTTTTTGCTTAGAACAGTCCAGTGACAAGGTGATTGGGGAAGACACATTTGGAAGATTTCCACCTGGAAACTTTCCTTTTTCCTGCATGAAAAACACTTAGACCAAAGCCTGTGTTGAGGCTGGGAGGGGGTACTGTTGGAGGTCTGCTCTCTAATAAGCCTCCTCAGGGTTCTGGGGCCAGCAGGGAAGATTAACTGCCCAGTACAGCCCACTTGCTGTGTCCATAGGTTGCAGGTACCGGTAGAATTTAAAGGAAAATGCCTGGAGGCCAGTGAAGGCCACGTGACTGGCTTTCTCCGTGACACAAATGTAGGGTGAGCGGGGTAGCCGTGGTCCCCCACTTAGGAGTTAGTTAACTGTTTTGAGACTAGATCCGAGTCTTCCCCTCCCTGGGAGCGCTGGTATGCAACGCTGGCCCCTGGAGGAAACGTGTCAATTTACAGAAGAAGTCCAAGCTTCCAGAAGGGAAGAAAATATCCAGCTGCTCCTTCTTGAGATGAGAAGGGAAGGCGATCTGCTGGGGTAGAAGCAGGGTGCCCACCGTAAAGACCTGGGGCCACAGCCTTCGGAAATGGAATTATCCCGAGGACAGCGGGAGTCTGCGGTGGTGGCTGAGGTTTACAGCAAGGGCCTGCCTGTGTTTCATGGGGTAGGGCTGACTTCGGCATGGAGTGAAGCTTCTGTCGGGAGTTCTAGAGGCCCCGCCATGCTGAGATTCTGCCCGTGCTCTCCACTAGGGACTGGGGTTATTTATCCACAGGACCATCGCCTAGAGGGGAGTTAAAGTAGGGGCCCCCACCCGGCTCCCCTTGACTTTGAGGAATGGTACTATCTTCTGGTATCCTGGGCTGGACCCTGTGAGGTGCCTGAGTGTCCTTGATAGTGATGTGGCAGTGCTGGAGACCCCAAATCCTATTGTGTTTTTTAAACAATTCAAGCTGAAGGCAAAGTTCCCTCAAGGGGGGATATGTCATGTAAATCCTTGATTGGTTAATAGAAAAAGTTGAAAGCAGCCTGAGGCCACCTTTGCGCTCTGTGCTCTGGGGCAGTTCAGGCAGGGGGCTGGCGGGGCGGGGGGCAGTTCATACAGGTGCCTTCACAGTCCCCGGGGAAGCCAACGTTTTCCCATCACTGGCGATGTGTGACTGCCTCAAGCAGGTGCCGGGAACATGCTGTCTTTTTGAGCTCATGCTGCTTATGGTGGATATAGGACCGAATTAGGGAAGATGGGGCCTAGAACGAATTCCTAAATAGAATAAGCCCCCGATGAATTATCCATGCTACTTGCCAAGTGCTCCCTGGGGCAGATGGAGGAGGCCTGAGAGGCTCCGTGGCACCTTCCCCAAGGAAGCCTCCTCACCCACTCTTGGGTGCTCTGTCTCACCATGTTGCATCCTCAACAGCTCCCGAATCTCTCACTCTCCACAGTGCTCATCGCGGTTCAAGCTACCATGGTCCCTCCTGGCAGAGGCCCCCCCGACCTATTTTCGCCATTGGCTCTTGTCTCCCACAAAACTTTCCCTCAGGGCAGGAGGCGGAGTCTTATTAAAGTGAGCCTTACCGAAGTTCAACCCATTTAGCAGTCAGGCCCTTCCCCAAATAATACAAAGCACAGACCGAAAACCTCTCGGACAGCTCCACAGTGCCCCCGGGGCACGTCTGACTCCTCTCCTGGGAGGGACTCCCTCTCACTCTCTGGGTCCAGCCACAGGGGCCATCTTCCCTTCTGGAAGGGGCCACATTCCTTCTACATCCAGACCTTCACATTCGCTCCTCCCTCTGCCTGCAAGTACTCATCTCGGGAAAACAAAAATGCCATGCCTTCACTAGGGGTCTTCCCCGACTCCACCGCCCGGACATAATTAGTACTCTCCCCCCTGCCTCCCAGCAACACCCAGTTTTGTCACTATTGAACGGCCCTCGATTGTGGCTTTTGAGGTTAACATCTGTCTTCCCAGCTCAATTGTGAGTTACATGAGGACAGAGGCCTTGTCTGCTTCTGCTTGTTATTAGGACTCCAGAATCTGTAAGATGCTCAGTGCGTGTTTGCTAAAGGAGGACTGGACAGATGTCACAGCTTCCCCAGCTGGTCCTGTGTGTCGGCCGACATCATTCAGTGGGAGTGAGTGAGGAAGGGGAGACCGCCTTTGGCTCTGAGGCCTACTGACACTCACTCCTGGCGTCCGCCCTGCTGGCTGGGCCTTGGCCACTGCTCAGCTTTTGTTTATCTTGCAAACGTGGTGGTCTCCACAGGAGAAAGCGGGGACGGCTCGGTCATACTCCCGTAGGGTTGGCACAGGGCTTCATGGTGGGCTTTCCTTGGGGCTGGGTGGTCTTCAGCTGGGGCCTGGGAGCCAAGAAATTGGCTCGGGGGGCCATGTGGCTGGGGCCTGACAGCAGGCTTGTGGTGAGGGCACAGCTCTGAGGTGATGAGTCATCCTGGGGGGAGGAGGGCATGAGCAGGGTACCAGGGCGGTCTTGGCGGGGGCTGGTGGCTGGGCGGGGCTACCCACAATTGCGGTGACAATGAGCCTGAAGAGCTTGCCCGGTGCAAGTGACTGGGCGGGGCGGGGGCACGGCAGAGATTCCCCTCCTGCACCCCTGCCCCTCACTGCCTCGTATCCTCCCTGCTCTGGCCACCGGCCCCTAAGCCTTCGAAGCTTTGCCAGCCACCGGCCTGGCAGGCAGGACCTGGCCTGCTGGGCCTTCTCTCAGCCCCTCCTCCTCACTCCCCATGGCGCCCTGGCTGGGGCCCCAGACCTGGGTGGTCTGCTTTCCCGGTCACTCTTGTCCTGCTCCTGTCTGGGGAAGGGGGCCCAGCTCTCCTCCAGAGGTCACTTGGGGCGAGGGCGGGCTCATGGGGAGGCCTGGTGGCCCGGCTCTGGAACTGAGCCAAGGAGAGGGCTGGGGCAGGAGGGGGGCAGGGGGGAGAGCATGCTGAGCCCCTGTGGGGCAGGGGTGGCATCCCTGCAAGGCCATACCACATTCCTCGGCCTCCCAGGGCCTGTTGTCCTGTCTGGCGTCATCTGTCCTCTGGCTATTCCTTAGACTCCTTCCCGTTTCTCGCGGTCCCTCTCACTGGTGACCAAGAAGCTGGCCCCAGGCCGTTCCGCGGTGTTGTGTGTGTGATGAGGGTCCCGGGGGTGCGTGGCCGTTGGAGGGTGCCCCTGAGTGGAGGAAGGGACCCTAGAGAGGTGTGTCAGCAGAGAACAGCTTGGAATCGCAGAAGGGCCTTAGGGATGGTCCCAACCCCTCGCAGAGAAAACCTAGGGTTCTGGGGAGGGCGATGGCATTGACAGGAGCAAGTTGTCTGGGGGTTGCTTAGGGATAATACCTGTCATCACCACGCTAGACTTTTATGAGGCGCTGACTCTGTACCTGAGATCGCTGTAAGCCTCTGCACATCCTAATTTACCCCACCCTTCACGTTCCTGTTCCGCCCATCTCACAGATGAGGAAACGGGAGACCAGACTCTGGACCACACATTCCTGCCTCTGCCCAGGCAGAGCAACGGGATGTGGCCACGGCGCCCGGGGGCTTTGCTCCTTCAGATAATGATGTCGGTAAGTAGAGCGTTTGTTGAGAGCTCCTTACCTACAGTGGCAGACATTCCACCAAAGAAGGGACAAGGACCAATCAGCCATGAAGGGATATTCCACGTCATCAGTCATCAGGGAAAGGCAAATTAAAATTACAAGCTACACCCACTCCAAGGGCCAAAATTAAAGAAAAGAATAAGAAGACTGACAATACCAAACGGTGGCGTGGATATGGAGTCGGGGCACCAGGAGCTCTCAGTTGCCGGTAGGGATGAAAACCCGCGCACGCGCTTTGGAAAGCGTTTGCTAACGTGCAGAGTCAAACATACGCTGATCGTGGGACCCTGGGATTCAGTTTCTAGGGATCTACCCAAGAGGTTAAAAAAATGTGTCCATGCAAACACCCGTATACGAATGTTCAGAGCAACTTCATTCACGACGACAAAACCTTGTAAACACCCCAAATGTTTACACCAGCTATTGAACGCAAAATAAGCCGTGGCACATCCATGTAATGGAACACCGTTCGCTGGAAAGGAGCTGACGACGCGAACAGCATGGCCGAGGCTCACATGCCCTGTGCTGGGTGGCAGCAGCCGGACACGACGGGGTACGT